GGTAGAGAAAACATGAGCATTGTGGAAGGGAACACAAGCAGGACCAACACATACACTGTGGTAGGAAACGAAGGCAATAATGTAGGCAGACTGTGTAGACAGCAAACACAATCAGGCTGTGCAAGTAGGATACAGGCTAGGAAAAGTCCCACAAGGATGTAGGTACAGAAGTCAGATTTTTCTTTGGTGAAAGCCACTATCTTAAAGGGGAGAAATACTATAACTGCAGCTAGTGATTTTAGATCCAAGTGGGTTCCAACTTGTGCAATTTGCTCGAAGAAGCAAAGTTTAAGTTAACTACTACAAGCTTGATGGAGAAACTATAGTTCAACTTGACTACTATGATAGGGATATGTCCACTTGCATATGAGTTGTAGAGATTATCCACTTGCATTGAAAGGGCCATGCCAACTACCATAAAGTTGGAAAGGGACATGCACATAGCAACATGACTACTTACAAATGTAGAGACAAGTAACTTGTAAGGTAACATATTTTCATTTGGCTATCATGTGATCAAATGAGGTGGATGGTAACTAGCAACCAATGAAGGCCCTTGGAACAAATAAATCCTAGTCATTGATGCCAGCTTGCTTTCCAAGAGTTTACCTATAAATAAAGGTGTTGAATTCAATTGTAAATAAATGGAATGACATGGGATATGAGATAGGGAATGAATTGAGAGTTGAGAGGAATTTTCCATGGAGTATGGAGTGGTATTTCATAAAGAGAAAATACTTGAGAGATTGTAAATAATTCTCTTTATACAAAGACATTTTCCCATATTTATGTGTATGTTCATTTACTTATAATTTCCTAGTTACTTTCTTTACTCAAAGTCAGCATCATAGGTTAAATTATCGTGGGATCTAAGGCTAATTAATGCTATCTCATGGGGACGAAAGTTGTGGAGCGTTGAAGTTGTACGATGTTAATGTAGAGCAGGAATGACGAAACTAGGCTCATGACATGGCGCTTACTTAGCTCTAGCCTATTCCTTGAGTAGCGGAATCGCTACTCGCTTGGCTCTCAATCGACCTATCGTCCGACCTAGCCCCATTTAGCATTTTTTATGCATATTCAGCTTTTTTTCAATCTATATTTTTAGGGTTTGAAATGTTCTCACTATATAATTAGCTCTTTATTTTGATTTAAACAAATTAGAAGATATTGTAAACACAATATCCTTGTATTCTTTCTCCATATTTTAGAGAATTCTCATTTCCTCTACCAATTACCTGTTGTTCTTCTGCATCTGTGATACTCACTTCATATTGTGTTTTATCCTCATATCACAACAAACTAATATCAAAGCAAGATTAGATCAAGTCAAGAGATCGATCTTTTGTGATGGAAAACATGTATGATAAACTACTTTTGGATCGCGACACAAGATTTTTGTTATGGTAGGTAAAGATGCAAGCAGTGCATCTAAACAGATTTGGATTATGCGTTGTTAGTATTTAACAAGATGTCAACAACTTGGACGTTGAAAAAGAAAAACATATCAAAACAAACTAATATCAAAGCAAGATTAGATCAAGTCAAGAGATCGATCTTTTGTGATGGAAAACATGTATGATAAACCACTTTTGGATCGCGACACAAGATTTTTGTTATGGTAGGTAAAGATGCAAGCAGTGCATCTAAACAGATTTGGATTATGCGTTGTTAGTATTTAACAAGATGTCAACAACTTGGACGTTGAAAAAGAAACAACATATGAATCAAAAGATACTGTTATAGATTCATCTGCATATTTCGAATAATATTCTTGAGGATGTTTTAAAGGAGAAGACTGTCGCGCATTATAGTTGAAATTGGAGCAATTATGCATGACGAAGGGTCTAATTAGCAAATTACATTTGAAATGGCATCTATATTCTCTTCGTATGATAGATGGTGCATTCCCTAAAGATCCCCTGGCTATTTTTAAGAAAATTGTGGCCGATTTGGAAACCTTGAAGGCTAAATATGATGAAGAGGATTTAGGATGCCGCTTCATATATGTCTTCCAGAGACACAATCATATACAATCGTGATATTTTTACCATTGAATAAGTCTATAATGCTCTATTTTGCAAAAGAAAAAGCGAAGTATCTTATTTGATGTAAGGCTTATCGAGACGACCTTATTGTTGATGTTGGCTATGCAAGGGCAAATTGAGGTCTAACTTTAGTAATAAAATTTGTTATTATTGCAAGAAGAAATGGCACACGATAAAGGATTGCTATAAGTTGTAGAATAAAGAAAATTTTCCCGCAACTAATCAGAAGTGAAAGCAACTAGATACTTTAGGTGAAGCCTGTACTGTAGAAAAATTTGACGATGATGGATAACTTTTGATTATTTCTGATGGGGACTCCAAACTTGACGATGATTGGATTCTTGTTACAGTTCGATTGTCCAGATCGAAATTTGTTTTCTACGTTTGAAATAGTTTCAAAAGATGTTATGGTAATGGGAAATAATATACCTTGTAGATTAGTCAGTATTGGAAAGGTCAAAATTACGAAGTTTAATGGGATTGTCATAACGCTTGATGTTGTGAGACATGTCCTGAGAAGAAATATCTAGTTGAGTACTTTTGACTTGAAAGGGTACAAATACATCGATGAAGGTAGAGTCGTGAAAGTTAGTAAAGGTGCTTATATTGTGATAAAGGGACAGAGAAGGTCCTAATTATATGTCTTGCAAGGTTCCACAGAATTTTTGAAGATCAATCTGTAAAATTTTGGCACTCTTGTGGATTCCAAGTTTGGTTTAATACCGTTGGAGTTTAGTTTGGAGTCTACATTGAAGAATATATTTAAGTCAAGTTCACAAGTTATGGATAATTCGTCTTTGCCACCAGTATCAATAATGCCATTGTATTCAATTGCCAAAGATGGACAAATGAGAAATATTAGGCCTCCACATTCGTACAGTGATGCTGATTTAGTTGTTTTTGCTTTGAATGTGGTAGAAGGTATTGATTTTAGTTGAGACCCTTCTACTGAAACAGTTGTGTGTATTGATTCTATTATAGGGCTTAGTTTTATCTTATTTGGTGATGATTAAATCATTTGTAATTTTTGCTGCTCGTGAGATAATTCGAACAACTTTGTTATCCAAGGTAATCATGCTTAGTAGTGCTTGAAATTCGGTTGATACTCAATTATTTTGATCGATAAATCTCTTCTACCATTGAAAATTTTCACTTCAAAATGTAAAGATAATTTGAAAATAGAACAACCAAAATAATGCGTGTGTTTCCAACCGAATCTCTCAACTTATAGTCCTTTTACTGAAAATCTTCCAAAGAACGAAACTGAGGCATTCATGGGGATTCGATTCGCTACCACAAATTAATCTGAAAATGTATGTGATTCATTATATTTTATGAAAATTTGTTTAATAAAGCATACTAGGATGAGGCTGTTGTAGTAATATCTTTGGCCTTAGCAATTGGAAAATTTTCCTCATAACTTTCTTACCTAAAACATGGGAAGCAACTCATTTCTTCATCCTCCCAAATCAACTCTCAATAACATAAACACGGATTTTTTTTTCTTGATTAGGAAAATAAACACAGATTGGTCTTTTAAACGATGGAGCTTGACAAATAAAACTTGCAAAAAATGTCCATGTTTTTTGTGACTTTCAACCTCGGAATTCTCGAAAAACAAAAATAAATCCTTCAAATAATAGATGGCAGTGAAAATCATGTTTATGATTGAAGCATATTTGAGTGACGAAATTTCTCATTGTACTTCGGAGAAAAATGAGGAGATTCGAATAGGGAGACATGTTTTTTATTTTGTATTTGTTTTTATATTTTTCTATTTCGAATTTAATTTTTAACTTATTTTAATATAGTAAATGAAAAGTTACTCTTTTACCCTTTTAAAAATATTAAAAATATGGTCAAAGTCAAATTTCTTAGTCATCTAACTGACAAATGGATGGGAACTGTGGAAAAGGGCTTCCGTTGCAATGTTTCGAAAGGTTTGAAGTGACGGTTACAACAAATTAAAGACTTGGGGAAAGTCTGCTAACATTTTAAATGTTTGAGGCTTCTGCAGCAATTTGAAAACTTTTGATTTGACTAGGGGATATTTGATAGGGATTTTTATGTAAAAATGCATTTTAGAATAATAAATTGATGTGAAATGTGTGGTTGAAAAATAAAGAAAAGTTTTTTATTTACATGTAATATTATTTTAATAAAGAATGTGTGGTTGAAAAAAAGAGAGAAAAAAATGCATTTTGAAGAAAATGGCTATCAAACGCGGCCTAGAATTTTTAGCAACTTTGATAAACAGTTGCATTCTGTTATAAGCTTTGTTCCCAGTTAGAACCAAAAATTCCGTTATCTACAAGTTTATTTAAGTTAACTTGATACTTTAACCCATTATATCACAAAACATTAACAAGTGCATTCGAACTAATGTTAAATCTCATTTCTGATATTAAAGATCCAATTAATAAACCAAACTGCATATTATTTTTATACATTGTTTCTAAGGCGTATCATCTCTTATGTTTTAACAAATAGCATTTCAATGTACATTTGATGTTGGGTTGTATGATTATTTCTGTATGTGTGCAATTTAATGCCGAAGTTAGTTGCTGGTTACCCTTCAATTCGCAAGGCATTCACAAAATTTATATGTAATATGCTTTGATATGAATGATTACAAATCCAACGTATTCATTCAGTAGTTAATTCATATAATAATTACACACAAATTTGAATAGAGAAAAAAGGATTCATTATGAGACATACTCTAATTGAAGTTTGAGTGGTTGCCTTAATCTAATCCTTAATTTTAATAGCAATCCTAAAACAAATTTGTCCCCAATTTTAGCAAAGAGGAGAACACATCTGAATCACATATGTAAGCTAACTGTAATTGAAGGCTGATATTTTACATACAGAAATTAAAAGCCTCCCAAAATGAGAGCCTCAAATTTTATTATGTTCCATCCATCCATTCCAATGACCTAATTCCATCAATAGAAAGAAGGCGGTGTAACTGCAGTTGTTGTGCGGTAGAGCTGGTGGCAGGCTGCCATTGATGATGGCAATGGAAGGCCACGGTGCACCAGCACGTAAGGTGATGGTGGTTGTGGACCCAACACGTGAATCAGCGACAGCTCTTCAATACGCTCTCTCACATGCTGTGATAGAAAAAGATACCTTAATTCTATTCCACGTTGAAAACAGTAACGTATGGAAAAATCCCTTTGGTTCATTTTTTAGAAAGCACTCCGCACAGTCGGCCGGCTCGGGTGGCACCGCCGCATCATCATCATCATTGCAAGCTAGTGGAGGACTTATGGACTTTCTTGAAGCAATGAAGCATGCATGTGAAATTGCTCATCCAAAGTTAAAGATTCTTGTAGAGAAGGCAGACATAGTGGATGGAAAGGACAAGGCTTCCATAATTCTTGCTCAAACCATATCTCAAAAAATTGATCTTCTTGTTATTGGGCAGCGAAGGAGTCTATCTAATGCAATATTAGGGTGAGTTCTCTGAATTTCATATTTTCTTTTTAAATACATTTACCCAAAAGGTAATGAAGGAGAGGCACAATCAAACCTTATAAACCTAGTATTAGGTCCGGGAATCCACAACAAGCACTATTCGCTTGGGCCTTAGGTTGAAGATTCCATACGAAATAAGCCCACTCTCTTGTTCATGCTGTGATCTGCATCATCTTCAATTTGCATGCATAATAAGAATATTAAGGTGGTATTTTATGAAAAGATTTTTCAATGCTTGCAAAATATTCTTCAGCAAGATGTCTAGTTTTAATATAAAAGCGAAATTGCAAATCGCTTTATCTTTCTGATAATAAGTACATGAAAATATGAAGAATTCTCAAGAAACTAATACAGCTTATGGATGAAAACATTTTCTTGCAACATTTTTACAAGGGTTTGATAGATATATATTTTTTTATATTCTTTATCATTTTATTCTGCTAGCCATTACTTCTTATCTGTCTTTTGCATTATCCAATCTATCGTTAGCCACTATTCTTCAGATTTTTTATAACGGTCATATTTCAATAAAAACCTAATGATTTCCTCATACATTTTCAAACATGCATCAAATTTGATGAAATAAAGAGATAAACTTTATAGCATCTTAGGTAGGAAAAATTGGATAGTATATTTTTTTGTTATAATGCCTAATCATGTTAAGTATTACCTATCAAATATGGAATCCATGTATGATGTATCTCAATATACTCAACCTCTACCCCTATACCTGCCACCCCCACCACATACAAGGGCCTTTAAATGTTACTCCAAATTGTTAACCGGCCTGGACCACATAGACCTGGATAGCCATAAGTTAAGTGTAAAAGCAATTATTTTTAACTTTAGCATTTAAGTTATTAAAATAATGAAGTGCTGACTGAGAAGCTCATGAATATTATTGGATTTGCGATGTTGATCAGGCCTAAACGAGGATCACTAAGAGGGCTAGATACAGCAGAATATTTGATTGAACACAGCAAATGCACCTCTGTGGCAGTGCAGAAGAAGGGTCTAAATGCTGGATATCTTCTTAACACTAAAACACAAAAAAACTTCTGGCTTTTAGCATAGGCACCATACATGGATCCTGTCAACTTGTACCAGTTGTAATCACTTCTCAATCTCTTTGCAGTTGATTCTTTTTTCTTTTTCTTTTTTCTTTTTTTGCCTTTTCGAAATCAGTTTACTCATTTATAAGTTCTAATGTTGCAATAGAGAGATAATTTGGTTTGTTTCTGCAACACGTAGCGGATTAATGTTAGTTGATCAACCTGAACAAGTCAATAATATGTTTTTCATTACCCAGATACCTTTTAAACAATAATCCTAATGTTTTATTGGTATGGCCGTATGGGCATCAATTTGGAATATGTAAAGGTGAAGATCAAAAAAGTCAAACTAAAGTCGAACCGGTTGTAAAAAATATTTAATAAAGTTAAATATGAATTGACGAATTTATTAACTGGTGCTTAATAATTCTTATTTAGAGAATTTCTACAAAACTATACCAGTTCCTTGTCTGGTCGAACTTGGGAGTTGAGCCTGGCTTTGACATCATTGATAATCCATTAAAATTTTGGCCAGGTATCTGGAGGATTGTCTTTGCCATCAATGAAAATTCCAAACTTATGTTACATTGAAGACAAATTTGAAATAAATAAATTAATGTCCTCTCTGACATCATAAACTATCATATGGAAGTTTCGGTTATTAAAATGTGCCTGGCCCGAACCAGCCTATTACCACAACATTTTTAAAACGAAACACATCAACTTACACATTATAATCATATTTTATACGTTATTCATCAAACCAACAAATAGAAACAGAAGAAAACAAGAAAGGGTAAATAAAAAAACCACGAAATCGCTATATAACAATATAAATGTCAAACAAGAAATGGTAAATAAAAATAAAGAAATATGTATTTGTTCGATTAACATCTTTTAGCAATCAATTTTGAAAATAATTTATTCATATGTTCCATAGTAAATATGAATGTAATTTAACATTTAACATTATTAGTTCTCGTTTACACTTATATTTAACTATGTTCAATACATTATTATTAGGGGTGAACGCGGTTCGATTTGGGCGGTTTGTGTTATATTTTCAACTCAAATCATTTTTAGCGGTTTGAATTTTTTCAAACCATTTGAATCTTTTATATCAATTATAGAGATTACGGGGTGCTTTTGTAAATGTAAATATGAGTATAAATTCAAACTTTGATTTACAATAAAATATATGATGTAATACTTTATTTGTCTTGCATATGAATTAAGCTCAAATTTGAAAGTGATGTGCTTTGTAACTTTTTTAAAAAAGTCGCACGTGATGCAATTTGAACTTTTTTGTTCAGACTTTGCTTTACATTAAAAACTGACAAAAAGTAATATTTTATTTGTCTTACATATAAACTAAGGTGCTCAAAAGTGAAACTGACATATGAATTAAGGTGCTCAAAAGTAATATTTTATTTGTCTTACATATAAATTAAGGTGCTAAATTTGTTTTTTGTTTTTTGTTTTTTTAAAGATATTGCAATAATCAGTGTCTTCATCTAACAAGTAGGGACAAGATAAGGAATATAAAAATGGAAGAAATCAAGAATGAAACAAGAAGTGAAATTATTCCGATTGTCATTGTGAAGAAGTCATAAAAGAAAAGAAAGTTAGAAAATTTATGAAACTTGAGGTTTTGATTTACTTATTTTGTATTGTCTTTTAAATTTTTTGCTACTATACAATAGAATAAATATTTATATTTTTTATGGGTCATTTTTACGTTAGAAATAAAAATACTACCAATACGTTATTTTTGAAACAAGTGACATATCGTGTGACTTATAGAAATTTAACCATAAGACATACAAAAATCCAACTGATGAAATTGGCGTTGCTAGTCTACATTATTTTTGTGTCTTAGCAATCTCATGCAAAACAAGAGTTGTTTTTGGTGATAAATCTGGACCATATGCCATTCACATATGTACTATCAGATGAAACTTATCTCACAAGAGGTTTGTATTTTTTAAACAAAAAGAGATTGTATAACGAATTTCGTGTATTAAATACAGAAATCATTACAAATTGTATTTTGAGAAATACAGGTGGATATTAATCTTCTTGTAATTGCAAATTTACAAAATCCCCTTATTAATGATTTGAGCATTTGAAGACGAATGGCCATGTGGTTTGAATCCTAGACTTCTAGAATTTGTTGAGGACTTGGCTTGGTCGGCACTTGAATTTCAGGGCTTGGACTTGGTCTTGAATTTAATTTGATTTGAAGAAGGCTTTGAAGTTCTTGAACCTATTTGATTCGAATTTTTTTTTATCTTCTTGAGATTCTCCGAATTCCTAAAAACATTTGCTTATGAACAAACTCGAAAGTGCAAACCTTTTCGTGCACATTGAGGACCAATGATTGTCATTTTCACCATCCAAGGCACTTTGTGTTGAGGACCAAGGACCGACTTCTTTGATCGTTCAATGCACATTGTGTTGAAGACCAGGGACCGACTCTTTCGACCATCCTAGGCACTTTGTGCTCGGGACCAAATATCGATTCCTTTTGACTGTCCAAGGCACTTTGTGTTGAGAACTAAGGACTAAATCCTTCTACCGTCTAAAATATTTTATGCAAAGGCCATTTACATATTTGGGAGGCTCGTAATTTTAGACAAAAAATGAATTTAAAGGATTTATTGCCCTGTATTTGTTTGCTAATTCTCTCTCTCTCTCTCTCTCTCTCTCTCTCTCTCTAGGAATGGCTATAACAAGCTCTAATGATAGTGTACTCTAATATACACAAAATTGTTGAGCTT